AGGAGTTGGGGACAAAGAAGGAAGAAAAGCACACAAGGGATTATTTGAACCTTCTTTTTGGACATGGTCATGACCATATATGGTCAATGACATCAGCCAGGTTCTCTGGCGCTGCTGTTTATATTCCAGCAGCATCGGGGTAATATAATTTGCGAAGGGTTCCGTGTCAATATGGTAGGCGAATGGGTATTCAGGTGTCATTATGATTGCATCCATATCCCCACGCATGTGTAGTATGTAAAAGCCATATACCACACATGCACAGTGTCTGCTCAGCTGAGATGTACGGGTGGTGTTTAAATTACTCCCATGCATTCGCAATGTTGGTGGAGGAATTATGCACATGTGTGGAAGGGACATGTCTCCAAGGTCACTATTGCGGGATCTTGCCAGCACATTGAGGACATCACATGTGGCAAAAATGCCATGAGCAATATGGCAGTGAGATCCCACATATGCATGGTAGCAATTGATGAATGTACCTTGTCATTCAGCCTTCATTTTTGGGGATGTCAGTAATACATCATCAAAAAATCCTAATGACAATAAAGGATTGAAAGAACAGTGTGCATCATATGCAGCATCACAGTTGTACTGCACACACATTGGTACTGTTTAATTGTGTAACTGCTTGTAACTTGTGACTAGATTTTCCTCCTCTTCAGCTGTCTGAGCGAACTGCTCCTCTCTGAGCAGACAGAAAAGGTTGGGCCCCAGTAAATAGTTATAGGAAGTGTTGCTACTAATGTATCTGAGGTCACTGGGTGGAAACTGTGTGCCACAACTGTCTTATAAACCACTTCCTGTAAGATTTTTGAAGATTTATTTACATATTAATTTCTTAATGTCTATTATGAGTTTCATATTTTTGTAGTAAGACTAGATTTCACTAAACTGCTGTGAGCTATTACATTTAAAGGGAATATTTCCAAAAATAGAACTTGCTGCAGTTTACTAATTAGAAAAAATAGCAAGTTGAGTCCATCAGAAAGTAGCATCTCTATCCCGAGTCTTTCATCTTCTAAGTTTATGTTTGTGTGTAAAACAACATTCAACAGTACAGAATAAGAGCTACCTGCTTTCTGCTGAATTTAGATTTAAATAACAAACAACAGATTTCACGGAGATTGAACAAAATGTGTGTTTTCATGTGCTGCAAATGCAAACGTTCTAAGAAACCCCCCTCCTTTGCAGCAGGCTGTGCGCTCTTGGCCTTGTTACATTTGGAGAATGACAGTCTCTTCTCACATCTCCCTAGATGCTGAGCATATCAATTCAAGAGAAACACATGAGAAAAACATGGGAAAGGTGCAGCATTCCTGGGAGGGAAAATGGTAGAAAGACTGGAGGAGCTTTTATAACAATGAAAATGCTGAAATAAATAAATGTGGAGTGAGCCTAAAGAGAACCTGTTACTGATGAGCATTTATATTACTGTATTCTAAATCCACACTGCACTTGACTTGTGTAGATATTACTTGATCTTTGACTATATACTTGAGTTTTACTTTCTAAAAGGAGAAGTGACAGGCTCAGGGCCTGTTCACAATACAACAGCACGTGCTGCATTTCCCTCTTTTTTTCAAATTCATTGAGGCACATAGCGGCATGCTGCATTAGGCTGCTTATTCAATAAGAATGGTCTGCAACACATCACACATGAAAATTTAGTGCAGCCTGCATTTATTTCAGTGTACTGCAAAGTACATTAAGGGGAATTTATCAAAACTGGAGCAAACAGAATCTGGAACGTTGCTCTCAAAGAGAATGCTTTGCTCTCACTTTGCGTATTTAGGGCAAAGGGACAGTATCTTTCTAAAGAAGCCTTTTAAAAAAATGACCCATTGTTGGGAAGCATCGGAGGCTGGAGGA